CTGGTCACGGGCGGCAACGTGAAGGGTGAGTCGGGGCGGCCCGGCGGCGGGGGCACGTGAACCGGCCCGAGGCGCCGGCCTGACCCGGGTCTGCTCTCCGCGCAGTGCTCGGGAAGGCCCGTCCACTCCTGTCCCGCATCGGAGACGAGCTGTACCTGGAACCCTCGGAGGACGGGGTGAGGGGCCGGCATGGGGCGGGGGTGGGATTCCAGCCGCGAGCCGGGAGCCTGGACTCCAGTGTCGCCCACGCCAGGCAGGATGGCCGTGGGCAGATCTGTCTGCTGAGTTTGTTTCCTCTCCAGTGGCTGGGGCATCAGCTCGGGCCTTGTCGTCTTCCCCGGCCGGTGTGTGAACTGAGGGGCGTTGCCGTCCCTGGGCAGGGGCTGACGACTTAGAGATAACCGAGGGGGATGGGGGAGGGCGGGCTGTGCGACCCTTCCCGTGGGAGCAGTGCTGAGGCCCCCTCTGAAGGCTTCATGGGAAAGTTGCTGCGACGGCCAGGACGGGGGTTTCAACAGGTTATGGCGGAGAGGGAGGACGTTAGGGCAGGTGTCGCTGACCCCTGCCCACGTCCCTCTTCCTGCTTTCCGCTGCCCAGCTCTCCCTCCGGACCGTGAACTCCTCCCGCTCCGCCTATGCCTGCTTTCTCTTTGCCCCCCTCTTCTTCCAGCAGTACCAGGCGACCACCCCTGGTCAGGACCTGTTTCGCTGTAAGATCCTGATGAAGGTGAGGCCTTCCCTCAGCCCTAGCACTGCCCGGCCCCAGGAGGCTCTGCCAGCTGTGCTGTCTTCTCTGGGCTCCATGGTTGCTAACCAGGGAGTGGTTGCTAACCAGGGAGAGAGACATTTGCAGGAGCAGTCCCCTGCAAATGCAGTGGGGGACACAGTAGAGACCTCCACCGAGGGGACACTAGAGGGTGGTGATATTCTAGTTGGCAAGAGAGGGAAGGTCTTTCAAGGCATTCCAGGCAGAGGGAACAGCGTGAACAAGCCTGGGAGTGTGCAGGTCCTGCCTGCCGGGGGTGTCCCTCTCTGTGTTACGTGCTGGGCTGGTGATGGGTCAGGACCTACATGGAACGGGAGAGCTGTTCATGGAGCCGCAGTGCCCGACTGGTGTCTTCCTGTCCACCCAGTCCTTCCTGTCCATCTTCCGCTCACCCACACTGCTGGAGAAGACTGTGGAAAAGTGCTGCATCTCCCTGAATGGCAGGAGCAGTCACTTGGTGGTCCAGCTGCTCTACAAGTATGGTGAGTGGACACTGACCAAAAGGGCCCTGGGTGGGGGCAGATTGGCGAGGCCCACTGAGACCTGTCTGCCCATCCAGGGGTGAGGAAGACTCACAACCTGTCCTTCCAGGACTGCGAGTCCCTGCAAGCCATCTTCGACCTAGCTTCGTGTCCCCACATGCTCCGCGCCCCAGCACGGTGAGCCCGCCCCTGCCACAGGCTCAGCCCAAGGTGTTTTTTCTTCTTCTTTGGGGCCTCAAGGGTCAACTTAAGAAGCCACCTTCTCCATCTTCCCTACCAAAAAAAAAAAAACCCTCAAAGACCTTACACAGCCAGCATACTTTCAGGTCGTGGCCCTTTAAAGGCAGAGGGTGGCGTGGAGGGACAGGCGCCCTGCTCCATCTCCTCACATTCTCTAGGAGCCTGTGTTCTCCCTGCCAGTGGTCCGGCTTGGCTTTCCAGCCACTCAGACCCAACCTGATTCCTCCTCTTGAAAGCACACCTCTGTCTGGTGTCAAATCTCTGGTCTGGCCTGGGTAGCCATGAAGGTCTGTCCTTAACTTTGTGGCTCAGAGGTTCAAAACTCTCCTCTGACCAGGCCATCCTTGTAGAGGTGTTTTCCGTTCAAAGGCAGCCTCTCTTTCTAACTGCCTGGGATCTAGCCTTGAGGACAGGGCAGGAGGTCGGCAGGGAGGTGTGGTCCAGGAGGACTGCCTGAGCCATACTGGGTGGTCAGAGTGCCGAGGGCTGCCTGGGGCCAGGGAAGTGGGACACTTCAGTGGTCCTGGTGGCTCTCCCTGTCCCATGCAGACACCGCTTGCATTCAGGCAGCCTGAAGTCCATTCATTTCTTGTGGTGACTGAAGGTCTCTTGGGGTCCCGACACCTGTTTCCCCAGGTTCTGGTGAACTGGCCCTGCCCAGGACCCCTCTGGTCTGCATTCGGAGGCTATTTCTTTCTCTTTTTTTTAAATGAGCAATTGTTTCTTTTTATGGACAAGTTCACATACATACGAAAGCAGAGGCCAGCTCCTATCCCCAGTGAGCTTGAGGCAAATTCCAGATGTTATTTCATCCATACAGCAATGTGTGTCCTTAGAAGACAAGGATTTAAGGACTCTTTCTGAAGGCCAGGTCTGTAGGGATGGCATGTGTGGTGTCTCTCTTCAGGACCCTCTGCGTGGCCGGGTGCCACCTGCCCAACCTCCCTGCTGCCTTCTCTGGACTCTGTTCATCTGTCCCTTCCCTTGTCCCCCCACGCTTTGGGAACTTTTGACAGAGTAGGGACAGTGTCCTGCTCATCCCATCCTCTCCTTCCCAGGGCACGCTAGGCCTGTACACACATGTGCGTGTCACCACCCTACCTCAGGTCTTGAGAGCAAAGCTCCTGGGCAGAGATGAGCACTGGGTGTGACTCTCTGTCTTTCTCACAGGGTCCTGGGGGAGGCTGTCCTGCCCTTCCCCCCCGCGCTGGCCGAAGTGTCGCTGGGCATTGGCCGTGGCCACAGGGTCATCCTGCGAAGCTATCAGGAGGAGGAGGCAGGTGAGGGGCCTGGGACAGAGACAGTGGAGCTGGGAGTGGGTGAGGGCCGGGGGGGCCCGGGGTCTAGGTTCCTCTTGTTCCTGCCCCCACAGACAGCACTGTCAAAGCCATGGTGACAGAGATGAGCATCGGGGAGGAGGATTTCCAGCAGCTGCAGGCCCAGGAAGGGGTGGCCATCACTTTCTGCCTCAAGGAGTTCCGGGTGAGGCTCTCCCCACGTGCTCACCAGCCTGTCCTCCCTGCCCAGCCCAGGGCCTCACTGCTCTGCCTCTTCCTTCCCAGGGATTGGTGAACTTCGCAGAGTCAAACAGCTTGGATCTCAGCATTCACTTTGATGCTCCGGGCAGGTAATCCCCAGCCTGGGGGGGGGTGGGGGGCATCCCCCGGATTGTGTGGGATGACCTAGCTCAGTGCTCCCGTCCCTGCCCAGGCCGGCCATCTTCACTGTCAAGGACTCCCTGCTGGATGGCCACTTTGTCTTGGCCACACTCTCAGAGACCAACCCTCACTCCCAGGACTTAGGCTCCCCAGAGCGCCGGCAGGCGGCGCCCCAGCCCCAGGCCGACAGGTAAGGGCCCCTGCTCCTCTACTCCTCCGCTCCCCAATCTGTGTGCGCCCCCCCCACCTGGAACTGCAGCTTCCAGCTTCTGCACCTCCCCCAACACACACACACACCCCCTCTCTCTTCCTCTCTTCCTGTCGGCCCAGCTCCTACAGTGCTCACAGCTTCCAAAGCTGCGGCCTCAGCCTTCTTGTACTGTACTGGAGGCCCCTCCCACCCAGGGAAGCTCCCCGCGGCCCTGCTGGCTTCCTTCTCTGGCTGAGGCCTCCCCTCCGAGCCACCTCCCATCAGGGAGGGAAAGGCTGCTCAGGGAGCTGCCTGGGGTGGGGGAAGCAGGTGGCTGGAGGGGCAGGTGGGCTGGGGAGGATGGGCCCAGCAGAGTTGAAGCAGAGGAAGTGGGGTCTGGCCCCCCGCCCGGCTTGTCCCTGGGCTCCAGTGCTGTCCAGCTCCTGTCCCCTGGGCAGGTGGGGGCTTGGGCTCCCCTCCCCCAGCCGAGCTACACTAGCCCCCAGGATGCCTCCCTCAAGCCCCTACCTGAAATCTGATCAAAGGGATTGCAGGCGCCCCCCCCAGAAGCCTCCACTTAACCCCTGCTGCCTCCTCTCCAACCAAACGGGGAGCAACAAAACCAGGAGCTCACCAGCAGTTTCCAGGCCCCAAAGCCTCCCTGAGCCCTCCAAGGTGAGGCCCTGTCTCCATGCCCACCCCTCCTGGTTCCTCACTGGCGCTGTTTCTGCCTGCAGCACACCCCACCTGGATGACTTTGCCGGTGATGACATTGACTCTTACATGATCGCCATGGAAACCACTGTAGGCAGTGAGGGCTCCCGGGCACTGCCCTCCATTCCCCTTTCACCAGGGCCCCGGCGCCCCCGCAGCCCCAGCCCCCACTCAGAGGAGGAAGAGGAGGCTGAGCCCAGCACAGTGCCTGGGACTCCCCCACCCAAGAAGGTAGGGGCTAGCGGTGGAGGCGGGAAGCGGGGTGAGGGAGGGAGCAGCCTCCGAGCGCACTCCGCTGTCTTTCCAGTTCCGCTCGCTGTTCTTCGGCTCCATCCTGGCCCCTGTGCACTCCCCGCAGGGCCCCAGCCCTGTGCTGGCAGAGGACAGTGAGGGTGAAGGCTGAACCAAGAACCTCAAGTCTGCATCCAGAGGATGGGGGCAGCCCCTGCCGGGGTGGGCTGGGCAGCAGCCCAAGGGGTCGGGAAGGTGGGCTTGCTAGAGCCAAACTGGTGGTACTGCTGCCTCTGCAGACCCTGCCTGGCTATCCACTGTGGAGCTGCCCTGCTGTGACCGGCCTGGGTCCTGTCACCTTCCCACAGCCTCCAACCAATCATGTCTGTCCCCAGACCTGGCCCTGAGCTGCCACCTGGCAGGACGTTCTTCTCTCAGGCCAGACTCCAGCCACGGTCAGAGACCCTCTTCCTCAAGCTTGCCTTCCTAGGAAAAAGGCCCAGTGGGCTGCTGGCCCCTGCTCTGCCAATCCTGTTCCTTGCGCAAGTCCTAAACTCACCTCTGAGACCCCCTGTGGCCAACAGATTGTTTTTCTGGCTTTCCCAGCAGTCTCTGGCTCTGGCTTGAAATTCTAAGAGCCTCTGGACTGGAGTGTGTGTGTCTGGGGCTTGCCCTGGCTGGGGCCCTGTGCTCCCAAGTGGCTTTGTTCAGAAGGGCTGCCAGGCCAGTGTTTGGGACAAGAGAGAGGCCATGGCGAGAATCCAGCTTTGACCTTTATTCAAGAGACCAGATGGGTTGCCCCGAGATCCGGCTGCCAGCCCTGAGGCCAAGCAAGGCTGGAGACCGGCGATCTGGCCTGCCATTGCCCTGAGCTGCAGCCTCGGCCCCAGGATCCCGCTTGCAGCCGACGCAGGTGCAGCAGGGGGAGCCCTGGGGGATTGGACGCTGCTATTGATTCATTAAAAAAGAAAAGACACCAAGGCTCCACGTTCCCCGGGAGGGGTGGGCCCGAGGGGCCGGCGCGGCCCCCATGGCAGCATGATTCCTGTACAATCAATCCATCATCTGGGGCCCTGGGGTGGCACGCGAGGGCTACTTCTTGGCTTTGGCGGAATTGCGCGGTGGGGTGATGGGTCGGCCTCCAGGGTTCAGGCCGCTGAACTGCCCGTATTTCCCCTTGTTCTTGTCGGCGGGCTTGAGGATCTGTGGGAGACAGAGCCGTCAGGCCCCCGGCGCTGAGCCACGGCACCTGTGCCCGTGCCCGCCTTCCCATGCCCACCTGGAAGGAGCACATGAGGGTCTCATCCACGCTCATCATGGCGCCAGCGTTGTCAAACTCGCCACAGTAGTTGGGAGCCGAGAAGAGTGTCACCAGCTGCCGCTTGGCAAAGAACTCGTAACCATCTTCTACCACCTGGACAAGGCTGGGAGCTGTTAGTTCCGCA